TTCCATGCTATAGAAAAAGTTGCTGATTAAGACACTGAGTAAAGGCTCCGTCCTTTCCTTAAGGTAAATTTGACAAGCTGAACGCAATCTGTACTGTACAGGAGACACGGCACGAGATTGATTGACAATGGTCTACAGCCAATCAGGACGCAGAACACTGTCAAAGCAAAATTGCACAAAAAGAAATCCGCAAAAACTGAACCGCGTTATAGCGAGGGACCACTGTACACAGACTAATATTACCTTATCCTATTTAAAAAAAAACAAAAAACAAACGCACAAAAAACAAACAAAACCAACACTTTTAAGCTGTCTATGGTGTTGTATATCTAACGTCTATTTCATTTGTGGAATGGGGAACTTACCATAATTACGTTCTCCCTGTACACCATATTAAGATGACAGACTCAGGAATCCTCATCTTTATATGTGTTAATGTGCTAATGTGCTAATAGTTAATTCAGTAAAAGTGGAGAACTTAAATGCTTTTTTTGTTTTATAGAAAGGGAATAGAAGAAACGAATTCTTGAACAAAACCTCTCTTTTAGTAGAAAGTCTCACATTGATGTCTGGGCAGTGTTGAAGATGCAACTCTACCCGACAGTGTGTTAATGTCCATGATGAGGTTATTGAAACGTTTCCTGAGATGTTTTCATTCTTAACTGCGTGATTGCTGCGTGACAGAGATTCAGTTATGTTTGGTGTCTTGGAACTATTTTATTTGATATATACCTCTCTGTATGTATTTGTGTATCATGACAATAAGTGGTCTTGGAGACATCTGTTTATATATCCTGCTCAGCAGATTTTTTTTCAATCCCATGATGTCACAACTCTGAGATGCAGTCACAAAATTATACAGGTGTTGTCTCTCTGCAAGACAAACTTTAATTTGAGTATTTTGTGACCTGTTGATTGTTTTGTTGATTTCATTCATTTATATGTCTTTTAATGTTTGAATTAAACCATTTAAGCCTATACAATAGTTACTATTGCATAGTCCTTTGTACTTAGTACTGGTCACCAGGTTCATGTGCACCATGGTTTTGTGTTCAGGTGGAACACCCACTGAGAAACAAAAAACCTGCCAGACACACAGTTTTATCAAAACAGAGGAAACGTGCAGTGGTGGCCTGCCTGAGAATGACTCCACTCTATAACCTACCCAGGTAAATAATAATAATAATAAAAAAAGATTATCTAAATACTTGGCTTTGCTTTAGTAAGTATATCAGTTGCCATATTGGTTAGGCAAATGACAAAAGGCTAAGCACCCATCCTAGTAATATTTTTTTTTATAGGTTTATAGTCCTCTTTTAGGTTTTCTACAGGGTATCCTCCTTTGTATAGAAGCTCATATTCCATTACACAAGCCACAATTGACTGAAAGCTGACCAAATCTTCTCAAATACCTGTAGGACAGACACTGTCATTTTAAACCTATTCTCACTTTTCCCCAAGAGCCTCCTCACTGCAGAAAATGCTTACTTTGTTGCTTAGCTTAACAGTCCACAGATGATACTGACAACTTGACCACTGAGTACTATCACCTGCTCATGTGGTGTTTTTATATAATTTATAAAGTGTGAGACTGCAATGTAGTAGCACGCCCACTCATTTGATAGTTGGCCACCAGGTTATCACAATCCACTTCTAGCCCTTTGACAATAAGAGTGCCACAACAGTAACAAAGTTACCAGCTTCCTGGATTGTTGCTCTGGATTTCTGTGGTTTGAGTCTCACTATCTGACAACTGTGTGAACAGTTGTCAGATAGTGACATCTCCATTGGGAGATGAAAAAAATATATTGAAATTTGTTTTTGGTTATAGAATTTCTCTCTTTTGCTCACTACGTCAGTCCCAGTTTGAAAAACATTAATAAAGCAGTGTATGATTTAAGGCAGGCCGATCTTGTGATTGTGGGTTTGTCACTTATGTTACCAGAGAAGAAATATCTTTATATTTTTTTTCCTGTGTTTCCTTCCTTCTACTTCAGAAAGATAAGTCTTCTCTTTTTGTCATCCTTTTAATTTTCGTCTCTAGGCATCGAGCTGTTAACCTGTTTCTTCAAGCCTACAATAAATCCTGGATATCTGCTGAGGAGCACAGCTTTGAAGAGACACTTGTGGAGAATTTAGCTGTGAGTGGAGAAGGTGGCCCTGCTGGCATTAGTAAAAGTTTAAAATAATGTAGAGGAAGATTGTGTAACAGGCCTATGTTCTTAAAGGGTACCAGATGAGACATGAATTGATTCAACACAGATTTATTGTTTTTAATTAAGTGAAATGTGGCTCTAAATTGATTTTGATGAACTATTCTTACATGAAGTTTTACTGCAGATTGCCTAAGGCACCAGTCAGATAGGCCAACAGACTGGTCGATGACACCTTGTTGCCAGCATTTGCTAAGGAAAAATATGGGTTCTCCGGCTGGTTGACATATGATTTCCTCAGGTTGCAAGCAGTGGCTAGTTTGAACTGTTATTAAACAGGTATATGGTGCTGCACAGCTGCTAG